GGTGGCGGGGACCAAGCAGGAGGGAGTGTGAGCACCATTCATTGCACACCTCGTTACAAGGCCCTGCCCAGTGGCAGGCTCTGTCCTAGCTTCTGGGAAAGCAGCATTCATGAACTTGAGCATGGCCCCTCACCATGGGTTTTAGAGGCTAGTGTCAGAGGCAGACATTAACCCACTAGGCACCCTAATGAAAATGTGTAATAAGTACAAATTGTGATCACATATCCAAAGGGGAAAAGAAAGAAAGAAAGTGGTGCAGGTAAGATGTGAAGCTGGGGCTGGGGACCCCACAGGGCTCATCTCCTTTCAGCCCTGGCATCCCCATTGTGCCAAAGGGGAAGCTGAGGCTCTGGGAGGTGAAGGATGCTGCTCAAGGACACATGGTCACACTGTTAGAGGGAGCAGCCTGTCCGCTCTGCTGACTTTCTTGAGCCACTGCACTTCTGCTTCTTAGCACCTCCATCCCTTGGATCCCCTTGGGGAGCACACATAAGAGGGAGCAGAATGCACCACGGAGGAACGCTTTGTGTATCCAAGTCACTTTGCCCTCCTCCACTCCGACGTCTGCCCTGTCACAGAGCAGCTTTCTCCCGAGGGTGTGCCCTCAAGTGCGGTATCTGGTACCGGGGTTCTAGCACAGCTCTTTCTCTCCATCTCCCCAGAGGATCCCCCAATCCTGCTCAACCACCTTTCAGAGAGTAACAGCTCTTCCTCCCTCTCCCCCCCAGCTCCCTGGGCTCTGACAATGCCATGGGCTACACCCTTTATTAGTGATGAGCCAGCAGCACCCTTTCCATGAAATCCCTTCATAATCGGGGGAGGAGGGCAAGCATGTGTGTGTTGGCTTTGAGAAGGCTGTACAGGGGAGGGGACGAAGGCCAGAGCCTTCTCAGAACAGAGAAACAGCCACTGTCCCTGTGTATCCCATTAGTGGGATGGGGGAACAGACAGGTAGGTGGACATGGGTGAAAGGTTAGAGCCCACGGGGATGGGGTCCTTTAAGGCCAAACAGAACTGAGCTTCAGCTGAGTTTCTACACTTTGCAGTCATGCGATGTTGGCCTAGTTACTTACTCCTGTGAGCCTCAGCTTTCTCATCTTTGCAATGGGTCTAAAACAGTACATAGCACATAGGGTTGTGAGCAGGATTACATAAAGCGCCACATAGGAGCCAGCAATCCATATATGCTTCCTAAGTAACAGCACCTCCCCCTGTCTCACTCAGCTGGAAGAGGATGGATGGAGACATACACTTTCTAGGACAGCAAAGCTCTGAACAGTTCTGTACCCCTCCCCCACCCCCCGCACTCACACATGCACACAGACGCACACATATACGTGTGTGTGCATCTTAGCTGACTGGAGATTCTCATGTGGACTTGAGGAAGCAAACAGCCATGTCACAGGGAACTGTGGGTGACCACTAGGAACTGAAGGTGGCCCCCAGCCAACCAATAAGAAGCTGAGGTCCTCAGTTATTCAGCTGCAAAGAAATGGATTCTGCCAACAATCCAGATGAACTTGGAAGCAGACTCTTCCCCAGTCAAGCCTCCAGGTGAGAACACAGCCCAGCTGACCCTTGATTGCAGCCTAATGAGACCCTGAGCTGTACTCCAAACTCTGGTGTAAAGGAACTCTGAGGAGATAAAGGGGTATTGTTTTAAGCTGCTGAAATCGTGGTCATTTCTTATGCAGCAACAGAAAACTAATAAATACAACACCAGTCTGTTCACCCACAAATCTATCCATCCATGCTGTAAGTTTGAGGTGCTTCCAGTAGCTTAACTCAGAAAACTACTTGCAAGTTCAAGGCCTTTAGTGAGTGACTTACAGGGAAGTTCATAAAAATAGAACAAAGGTGAGGTGCATCCTCTGCTAAGTACACACACATGCCCGCTGGTGCACACAAGGCAGCAGGAGGAACAGAGTAGCATGTCAGCTCTGCCACTCTCTTGCACCAGGGCCCACTCACCACCCCAGCACCCTTACAACTTCTAGCCAACAAATGATCCCACAAACTCTGCATCTAACCTAACCAACAGGCATCTGCACTCACTCCCTCCCCCCAACAACCCTTGCCATTGCCTTTGTGCAAATAGGATGGGTGGTGGGGTCAGGAAGTTGTACATCCAATCCAACAAAACTTGTTCTAGCATCTGCCACATCAGACCCCATGCCAGGTCCAGGTCCAGTCAGAGTTGTCATCATAACTATCACCAGTTGGAAGAATCATCACATTAAATATACACCCTGTGCCAGGAATGGTTCACTAGAAAGATCTTCCCCACTAAAAATCTACTGGGAAAATTATTTAATTTTCCCAAGTAGAGTAGCAGAACTGATCCCAAGGCACTCATTTTATTCCCCTAACCAGCATCTGACATGAAGCTGGGAAGCAATGTAAATATTTGGGATCCAGTCATTGGGAGCCGCAAGAGAGGAGCAGATGGAGTCGAGAGCCAAGCACAGGGAGATGGAACATTAGCAGGATCAGACTGTTCTGATCCCCAGTCCCAGACTTGCAGGGGGGGTAGGAGAGTACATCACTCAGCTGTAACTGGGCACATGTCAGCACCACCGCGGGACCACCACAGAAGCCCCTGTGATGTTAAGATTTCTTCCCACAATTGCTTCTGGGATATAGACAGAGATGATATGCAAATGCATATCAAACAGTCCCAGCTATGAAGAGAGAAGAGGTGTGTCAGAGAGTTGGACTGAGGTTGGGAGTGATTCCGTTATCAGGCCTAGTCCAAGTGGCCTTCTCGTGTCCTCTTAACTGTCACCATTGCTACAGAGGAGGGCCTTGTCCCAAATACTCCCGGCCATGTTAACACTGTAGGTGGTCCGAGCTGCATGTCCCAAGCCCTTCTCAACTACTTCCTGGATGCTCTTATGCACCTCCTTTCTGAACAACTCTCCCCAGAGGTGTCAAGCACTCCTTCCCACCTGTGTCCCTGGAGGGCTTTGCAAAGCAGGTGCAGGGTGACCACAGAAATGGCACAGATGTCCTGCAGCCTTCTCTTTTCTTTCCTTGAGACAACACTCCTCCCTTGTGGCAGCTCATCAACTCCTCAGTTTCAGTCCTCTCTCCCAGTGGTAGCAGTAGGGTAATGCCCAGCCTCCCAAGAGGAGATAGGTGTGGGTTTGTCCAGGGCTTAGTTGCTGGGAGCCTGAGGCTTCATTCATCTTTGAGCCTCAGTAGTTCCATCTTTAAAGTGGGCCCATGAAGGCACCCACCACCTATTGTGAGTCTGAAGTGAGGCAATGGGCATGAGAGAGTCAGGACCAGCTTCCCAGGCAGAGGTCTGCACAGCATACAGGGCCCCCTGCTCAGAAGGGCTACACACTTGGTTTAATGTTCTGCTCTTGTCTCGAAATTCTTAGTAATTCTTGAACAAGGGGCTTACATTTTCATTTTGCACCAGGCTCTGCAAATTATGCAGCAGGTCCTGGAGAGGGCTTTGAAAATCCAAATGCAATGCAAAAACATGCCGTGGTTATTCTTGTTGACAATAATAGCAAAACACACACCCCACCTTCCACAAGGGATGTGCATGGACTCTGTAAGGAGTGTGCATGGGGCTTTTCTGCAAGCCAAGAATGCTGGGGCCAGAATGCTATAAGAGACAGGATGTGTCTCTTACACCCTGTGCCCTCGCTAGTCCCAGGGCGCCCAACACTCACCTTGAGGGAGCTGTTTTAATTTTGGTGCTTGGCCTGACCAGCTGTGTGTACTTAACCAAGTCCCTTTTCTCTCTGGGTGCCCTTTAGCTGACCTGCAGGAAAGCGTGGATCAGACTGGTCACCTGGCTAATCCTCTCCCAGCCATCCAGCACCTGTTGAAAGGCTCCTCTGAGTCTTGCCAAGCAGCTCTGCCCCTAGTGGGAGTCAGAGGCATGAAACTTGCTTTCAGAAAGATGGGGTTAGAACCACACCACCTGCTCCCAAAGCATCTGCCGGTCCTCAGCCTTCATGAGCATCTTCACATCCAGCCCTGGGTGAGAACCGGGCCCAATGGATGCACCTGTCAGAGCAGGGGTGACACTGGGGCTTGGGGATTTCTGAGGAGCGGGGCTGGGGCATGGATGTTGGATCCTTCAGCTTGGATCCAACCCTTATTTAAAGAAGGGGAGTGTGTGTAGCAGTGTGGCTGTATACCTGTGCGTCTGCACCAGCACCTGGCCCTCTCATTGTGTGTGTGTGTGTGTGTGTGTGTGTGTGTGTGTGCGTGCTGTGCCCAGTGTAACTCTCTATGTAAGAGTGTCAGTGGATTCTTGTGCAGCACTGCTTCCGTGGACGACTGTATCAAGGCATGGGTCTGTCGCTGAGTGTGGGTGCGGAGCAGTGCAGTCGCTGGCGGCAGAGCCCTGAGTGTGCAGCAAGGAGAGAGTGTCGGTGTATCTGTCTGTGGGGTGGTGACTCCGTGTGGGACTGTTCCAGATGCGGCGTGTGTCAGGATGTGGGTGTCAGGGTCAAGCTCCGGGTGGGGCAGAGGCCCACGTGCGGCAGGCTGTGTGTTGGTACGGGAGTGCTGCCGACGGGGTGGCGGTGTGCATGTGTGTGCCCACCACAGGGTCCCAGGGTGTTTCTGAGTGCGTGGGACGGAGCCCGGTGTGTGTGAGAGAGTCTGTGAAGCAGCGATTCAGTGTGTTTGTATCAGGCAGTGTGCGCCTGCCCTGTCTGTGTCTGGGTGAGTGTGGCGACCTGCGCCCTTGGGTGGTAGTGCCCAGTGTGTTTGTGTCTACGTGTGTCTGGGTGTAAACGCCAATGCATTCTCCCGGTGTGTATAACACAGCAAGTGAGGCTGTGTTTGTGTACCTGTGTGAGACTGGGTGTCCGGTCCTCGCTTGGCACGCGGCCGCGCGGTGGGCCCCTCCCGCGGGCCGGAGCAGGTGGTGGGTGCCCGCGTGGGGACCCGCGACCCCTCCCACGGGCGGGCAGGAGGGCGGCGGCGCAGGCGCCTCTAGGACCCGGCGGCGGCCGGCCGCTGTCCCCAGGCCGCGCGAGTGAGCATGTGCAGAGCCGGGTGCCCGCTAGCCCGCCGCCCGCCGGCCCGCCGCCCGCTCGGCGCCCGCTGGCTCTGCCGCCGCGGCTGAGCCCAGAGGTCCGCAGCCCCGGGGAGCCCCGCGGCGGCGCACTGTGCACTGGCCGCGTCAGGCCGCTCTCCGCGGACCGCCCAGGGGCGTGCGGGCACCAGGGGCGCCCGGCTCTGGGCACTGCGGGGCTGCGGGCTCGCCGCCCGGGGGAGGCAGGAGCGTGGCCGGCGGAGCGGGCGCCCCAGCCGGCCGCGATCGCGGGTGAGTCCTGTCTCCCGGGTGCCCCAAGCGGGACACCCGCGCGCGCGCTGCGGGCAGGGTTCCCCCCGGCCGGCCGCGGGCGAACAAGTTTGTGTAGACGCAGCCGCGAGTGCGGTGGGACTGCACCTGCTCCGGCTTCCGGCGGGCTGGCGGGGGGCGCTTTTCGGGGGCAGAGAGTGCGAGTGTGCAGGCGCGGCGGGTAGAGCTCCGAAATGAGCGGTCTGGGGCCGGCGTGCAAGGCAGTTGCTGAAGCCGAGTCCCCTTCCTGGAATACTGAGAGCCGGTCCGTTTCCCGGGAGGGAGCCGCAGATCTGGTGCCGGGGAGGGGGCGAGGACGCGATCTGGGGTGCGCACTACCTCTCCTAGGAGCGGACGATTACCCAGCAGCAGCTCCCTCTCGTTCCGCTACCGAGCCAGGCTTCCGGTCAGTGGAGGCTTGCTCTTGGTGAACTTGAGCAGAGGCAGAAGCTGAAGAGAAACGTACGTATTTTGCCCCGAAATCTACCTCAAGCAGAGCTTTGCATCTTCCCAGGTGTGGACGGAAACTCATGACTGAGGGCTAATTGCGTTTTTCTTTTTTACCGAGGCGACTTCGGGAGTACCCTGCCTCTGTGTAACCTCAGGGTTGTTTTTCCTGGGCATCTGTGCTCTCGGATGATCCCTGCTCATTGCAGGCTCATCCCTGAGGAGGCGGGGGTAGAGAGGGGATCTCTGTCCCTTTGCTGAGCCGCAGCAGCCGTGGGAAGGCTGGGTGTTACCGCTTCAGCCCCACAGCCCCCGTCCTGGGATCCAGGTGCTGCCCACACTCACCAGGTTCCCGGCTGCTCCCAAGATAGACAGACTCAGAACTCCACTGCACTTTTCTAACAACATTAGATGTCATCGTCTCTCCTGTCGTGGCTCCTGTCGCTGGAACAGCATGCTTCAGTTTACAGAGGCGTTTGGGTTGTCCCAGGTTGGGACACCATGCCATGGCTGAGATCAGGAGATGAGGGCCTTTTATTTCCTCCTTTGAACTGCCTTGGTTATTGGGCACAGAAAGTGAGGGCTGCTGGGGAGTGAAGCAGAGGAGGGGGAAAGCTGGCTCAGCCTGCCCTGTCTGCAGCAGCCTCACCTGATGCTTGCAGGTGTGGAAAAGAGGGCAAGGGGGAGATGTCTCTCAAAGATGTCTCTCATTACCTCATGTGCCCTTGGCTTAGCCCTCAGAGTCCGTGAAGAAGGTGCCCTGGTGGGCCACCAGAGCTGAGGCTTCATTCTACAAGGAGGAGCAGCTATGCTGGTTGTGGGAGTGTGTGTTGGCCTCCCAAGCACACTTGCTAAAAGGAGCCTGGGCAGCTGGGCAGCTGGGCAGCTGGGTAGCTGGGCTGGTGGGCTGAGCCTGGCTGCTTCATCTTCCCCTGCAGGAGGCCCCTGGTCCTCACCCACTGCTGCATCCTCCTGTCCTCAGCAGGACCATTTCCACAGCACCTCTGGAAGGAAGAATGCTTTACTGGGGGTTAGTGGACACTGGAGCCCTGTGGGGTGCTGTCCTGCAGCCTGTTGTGTATCAGGCTGGAAGGGAAGCATGGATCAGGCAGAAGTCCAGCTCCAGTCCCTTCCCTCCAGTCTGTCCAACCAGGCAGAAGTGGATCTGCTGGACCGCCAGTTGGTCAGTTGCTAAAGTCTGAGCCTCCAGCCGAGTCCGTGAAGGCCCAGCACTGGGCAGTAAGGCTCAAAGCTGGTTCCCCGCAGAGTCTCCTGGCAACACGGAGCTTCCAGGCCAGATGGAATCACGTCTGAGTGGGACCTCTAGGGAATGGGTGCTTCTCTTTGTGGAACCTCCTGGTTGCACTCTCCTCTGGCTCAGATCCCAGTCCCCTGGTTCTCCCTCTGGCACTACACTGAGGTCAAGGCCGAGGGCTTTGGGGCAGCTCAATGTTTAGGCCTTCAGGGTCTTCTTTACCTGTAGGATGTGCTTGATAATCAAACCTGCCTGCAGAGGTGGAGCTGGGCTAGGGTCAGGCCCTGCTCATCTGGGGAGTGAGTGCTTGAACATGGCCTTTGACTACCTACTCCTTGGGGCTCCATATCTTATTTTCACACTTTCTTCTAACCTCTCCATGTGGCTTTAATAATCCATGTTGACATATTGCCTGCAAAATTACCAGAAGTGTGGCACTTCTGGAGAACATGGCCAGGTAGGAACTCTGCTTCCCAGTGTGGATGTGAGAAGTAGAGGAAAGACTGGGCTGGATTAATGTTGTAAGCTATAAAATGCAGTGCACCTATTGGTGGCTGTTAAGGTCTCGCCCCTCCACTTCTCTTGCTGCTGGAAACCAGAGGGCAGCTGTCTTGGCTTAAGGGGGGCAAGAGGGCAGGTTCTGATGGTAGGAATGCCAAAGGAGTCTTGGGTCCCCACCCCCAGCATGAGTCCCTCATGCCAGTAACTGCAGGCACAGCAGGCAGTGGCCAGAGAAGGGCAAGGCTGACCTTGGTTGGGTGCTCCACTCACTCGCCCAGGTGTGTCCAGATCGCTCAGTGCGGTCTAGGCAGCCAGCAAGAGTGCTCCAAGGAGAAGAAACGTAGGAACAAAACAGGCTTCTAGGGAGGAGGTGACCCAGAGGTAGCCCAGAAGAGGATTGATTGGCTGTTTCAAGAGTGGGTTGGGCTCCAGATCAACCAACTGAAAAGGGAAAACACCAGTCCCCACAGTTGTGTTCTCTTTTTCTTTGCAGCCCTGGCCCCTAGCGTGGTGCCGGGAAGAACCTGTGTCTGCGGTGTTGAGCAAAGAAAGGCCGTGTGATGTGGGAGATGATAGCACAAATTTAGAATCAGAAAGTTTGAGTTCAGTCTAACAGTAGCTATTTGTCTTTGGTCAAGTTAACCAGCCCTCTTTCTGCCTCACATTCTGTGCCTGTCTGTCAAAGGGGGATGACAATGATTGCGATGTCACAAATCTGTGGGAAGGTCGCTCATTCATGTGTTGATTTGCGCATTGATGCGTGCACTCGGTGGTGTGTGAAAGGGCCTTGCAGTCTCTAATGAGGCACAGAAGCATTTGTCCTTATTTATGTGAACTTCAGCAGTGATTTGATAGAGGATCCTCCCACCTTTGCATCGAGTGGAGTTCTGACTTTACTATTAAGTTTTATACCTTTTAGCAACATTTCTTACCCTGGACTTTTCCACTTAAGCTCTTTGAAGTTTGGAAGATCACAGATTTGCCTCTTTTGTTCTTCCTTCAGCAGTACATAGACCAGAGATTTGCCTCTTCCAAGTTAGGGACCCCCACCCCATTCCCGTTTCCCACACTGTATCCCACCTGCCATCTAGCAGATTTATATTTAGTAGGCCCTTTGCTTTTTCTGAGTCTCCAAGACCCAGAAGTATGGGACCCCAGTATGAGGGTGGCATGGCCCTGGGCAATGGAGCGTGGCTAGCGGACACAGATTTCCTGGGTGCCTGTCCTGGATCCCACTCAGCAGTGGGTGGGGGTACTGACTTCATCTGCAAGGGACTCGCAGGCTGGGGGAGAAGTAGGCAGAGTAGCAGTGAGTCCTGACTCCAGGCAGGACCAGGCACAGTTCACAGGGCATCTAGCCTTGCCTTCTAGTGCTGGAGAGCGGCTCTGTTCTGGGGATCAGGAAGGCATCGTGAAAGAGGTGGCATTGGAGCTGATGCCACAGTGATTGATGGCCACAGTGCATTTCAGAGCCACAAGATGGGGCCCAGGCACCCACGGCCAATGATTAAAAAGATATGAGGGGGCACAAAGCACCTCATGCTGGCCAGGGGACACTGGTTGGGAGACTGTATTCTGAAAGCAATGGTGAAAGGAAGGGGCTGGGAGACTGAACCAAGAAGGGCCATTGAGTACCAGGCTGGGGAGCTTCAAGTTGGCCATCTGAGTCCTGGGGAGCCATTGCAGGTGGTGGCATTGGTTCTTTGTGTTAGAAAGATCGCTGTCTTAGGCTACCGGGAGTGGCCAGCCTATTGGGGCAGGTAGGGTCCAAATGCAGGTGCTGAGCCTAAGCAGGGCAGAGGCAGGCTTTGGTGGTGTAAGAAAAGACATGGAGCAGTAATTCAGAGTGCTGAGCCCCGCTGAGGGCTCCCTGGTGTAGTTTTGTGAGGTCCAAAGACCGGCACCCACCTCCTGGCTGCCAGTCATGGAGGCTGGGGCTCGGAGCACCCAGTCCCTTCGTCTCACGGCTCTCGCCTCACCAAGAGCTCGAGGCTCTGAGTCCCTTGAGGGCCACAGCCCTCACTGCAGTGGTCACCATGGCTGAGATGCTTCTGGGGGTATCTGGAGTCATTCTCCCCTCACCTGCCACTGCTTATCTCTGTCTAGGGGTGGTTGGGAGGCAGAGAGTCATGTGACTGACCCCAGTGGCCACTGGGCAGGCCTGGATCAGCTCCGAGCTTCTTCTTCAGCCCACAGGCCCCCTGGGACTGCCTCCTCTCCCCTCCTCTGCTCTCCCCTCCTCTGCTCTCCTCTCCTGTCCTCCCCCTGCTGCTGCCACCCCGCACTTGCTCAGTTTCTCAGACCCCCACACCTAGGTGAGAGGCAGGTACCATCTGCCCAATACACCCTCTCCTTCATGTTCAGCACCTACCTGGGACCCAGATAACAGCAAAGTAGCAGAAGAAGGCTCAGGTTGTCTGAATCCCCACCTGAGCAAGGCTCCTGCTCCCTCCCTGAGACCCCCAGAATCCCCTTTGGCTTATTATTCTCCTCTCATTCCTAAGAGGGAACTCAAGGTCTCCATCCCTCAAGCCCTGCCCCCCTCTGGGGTGACACTTGGCCTTCAGAAGGCTGCTGGGCATGGAAGAGGGCATCCAGCTTTGTCCAGCCTGAGACTCTGTACTCAGCCCTGGTGCCCCCTCCCAACAAGGCCTGAGCCTCAGGCAGGGTTGGAGCCCCCACCACTCCCCTGAAGCACTTTGCGTGGTTCCTAGAAGGGAAACACCACACGGGAAGCATGGCTTAGGGAGAAATGACCCAGGATCCCAGAAGGGGAGGGCCCAGGAGGTGGGAACGCTTACCCAGGTGGCAGCGTCTGGGAGGTTTGGCTCGCACATGCCGCGTGCAGCACCTTCTCCAGGAGTTTTGGCCTGGCATGTTTCCAAAAGGGTGCTGATGGAGATACACTACACTACTTTCAAGAATAAATCTTGCCTCGTGTGAAGCTGGAGCTGGTGTGGGGAGAGGGCAGGAAGCTTAATGGGCACGGGGTCACCTCCCAAGCTGGTGGCCTGGGTCTGGGTGCTGACCTTGGGCAGTGCATGTCACCCAGCTGAGCTTCGGAGACCTCGGCTCTCAGGGGGGTGACCAGGGCACCTGCCCCAGTGGGGCGTATGCAGTGAATGAGATGGTGCAGGTATCCAAGGCAGCCTAGCCTGTTTATTATTAACACTGCAAATGCTTAATAAATGATGATGAGGAAAACTAAGGCAACTGCTGACAGCCATCTTAGCATGGGACCAGCCTTAAGTCAGAATGGGATGCTGGGGTCCCCCAGGGGGTGGGGGGCTAAGAAGGGGGTGCTGGTCTCCCCCATGGCACAGCGGCTGCAGGCCTCCCCTCCAGCGTTCCTTGTCTGCCTCTCTGCTTCCCAACCGATGTTTGCCACGGTGTGTAGGCAACAGGAGTGTTGCTCCCCAGTTTGAACCCACAACAGTACCGATTTATCCCCATCTGACAGAGAAGGAGCCTCTGACCTGTGCGGCAACTTCCCCAAGGCAGATTTGCATTACTGAAGCCCCCTGGCTTTGGGGTGTGGTGGGCACAGCTGGTGAACTCCCGGGCCCAGTGCATTCAGGCCAGACGAGGCATCCCCCCGCCGCTGGCGTTGGCAAGTTCTGCTTTTCTACAGACTGACCTTGTGGCCTGGCCGTGAGCCCTTGTGCGGATGCTCCCCATCACCCACCCACCCGCGGCCTCTTCAGGTTCGGCCACCCCAAAAACAGCTGCCAACCCTGCCTTGCAGGCTGTGTGCTGGGGTCTGGCGACATGGCAACAAATCATGTGTGACCTGTGTTCTGAAGGGGCAACCAGCTGGGAGGAGAGGTGGTATGGCAGAGAGTGGGTGGGGGGGGGGGCTGACAAACGTCATGTTGGTGGGAAGTGTGGCAGGAGTCCAGGGCAGGAGACAAGGTCCTAATGCGTTGGACAGGCAGCCCCCAGCAGCCCATGGCAGGAGCTCTGGGGCTGGGGATCGGCTTTGTGATTTCAAAAGTTCGGAGTAGCAGCCTGCTCTGTAGGAGGCCTGGGTCATTGAGCTCTGGCCTGATGGTGGCTGACCCCTGCCTTCATGCCCAGTGTGCCCCTCCCCAGACCAGGGACAGCCCCTCGGGGAAGGGGATGCTCCGGAGAGGACTTTGGAAGGCCTTGGGGCACTTGGTTGTGACCAGGACAGTCCTCGTTGTGGCCCTGACAGCGGCCCACCCACTGTGCCCACCCTGGCTCCTAGCTGTGTCCCAGTCCCACACACGAGATGCATGTGGGGTCCACCCCACACCTTCACACTTCTGAGCTGTTAATCCATTGCCCACATTTCTGCTCTGTCTTATCAGGACCTTCCTTTCCATAGCAGGAGTCCTTCCTTCTGCCCTCGTATTTAATTGTACAGGGGACTTTGTGCTGATAGAATCCTGGTCTTGGGACCAGAAGCCCTTTGTGAGCAGCCCTGGAAACCCCTCTTTATGGAATCACAGTCGAGAAAGGATAACAGATAAACCTCAGGCACCTTGTTAACTTCCATGTGTCTGAAAGACCTCAGCTGTGTTAAGCTGCCCTATTTAATTGTGCTTCTGCATTTCTCCATGTCTCCCGCTTGTCAGGCTGAGTGCCCACAGCTCTGGGTAAGTGCAACTTGAGATTTCATTGCCCTAAGACCCCACAGGAGCAGGTTTCTGATATCACGACTTGCCTGTCAATTTATCTTATCATTCATCTTTAAAAATGCATTCAGAAACAAATGTTGCCAAACATCTGCACTGCCAGGCCTCACCCTGGGGGCCAGAGTTGCCAAATTGAATGGGGTTTGACCTCTAGCCTCGAGTCAATCACAGTCCTCCCAGGATGACTGACAAGGAGACGGGCAATCAGAATCATCCCAGGATGCGAGTGCTGGGATGGGGGCAGCTGTGGGCTGTGGGAAGACAGAGGATCCCTTACCCGTGGGTGGCTGGTGGTCAGGGAAAGTTTCTCAGAGGAAGTAACCCCCAGGCTGAGGCTTCGGAAGGACCACAGGGATCTGTTCTGCAAAAAAGGAGGAAAAGGCCTCAAAGGCAGAATGTACAAAGGCACCGAGACAGATGTGCTAGACCTCGTAGTTGTGCTAGACCTCGGTGTGTGAGTGTGTCTGTGTGTGTTTGTGTGTGTGCACACGCATGAATGCCGATGGGGAAGCTGAAGGAGAGGGCCTGGCGAGAGATGAACCGATGGGTTGAAGCATGAAGGGGCTTTGTGTGCTGTGCTAAGGAGCTCAGAGTTTATCCCGAAAGCCATGGAGAGCTATTGAAAGGGCTTGAAGCAAGGGAGTGCTGCGATCAGATCTGCGTGTTCAGGAGGATCGCCCTGGCAGCCCTGTGGAGGGTGGACCGGGGGTGGGGGGGGGTGCGGCGGTGGCAAAGCTGGAGACAGGGAGATCAGTCAGGATTTCTTGGGATTTTCTCTGTGGTTTCACAAATCTGACGAGCTGGCTGGGGTGGGCCTGGCACACACCAGCTTCGAGAGAAAATAAAAGCCCTGGAAGCCCGTCTGAAATGGCTTTCTGACTCAGAGTTTAATTCCATCTTCATTTTCTGATTACCCAGCCTGCTGCCCCCACTCCAGCCTAAAGGACCAGCCGCCCTGTATTCCCAGATCCCCCCTCCTCCCCGAGGCCTGAGAACCTGGCAGCTGGCAGCGTTCAGTCAGCAAGGGCTGTGCTGGCCTGGGCACCTCGGGATCTTCGCCCCTGGAATGCCAGGCCACAGAGCCCAAACATTGTCTTTCCTCTCACACCCGGCCGGCTGCTCCCGGTGCACAGAGCAGCCATTGAGGGGCCACGCGGGTCTGGCGGGGGTCCCGGGCCATGTTAGTTACGGGCAGCAGCTTAGTCACGCTCCTCAGAGCCTTTCTTCTTGGGACAAGCGTGTCCTTGTGCTGAGGCCTTCCTCATGCAGCAGCCCGCCTCGAGGCAGCTGCGGAGGCCTCTGCCAACCCCTGCAGCGCACTTCAGAGGCCGCGCCAATGGGAACCGAAGCTCAGCATAAGTGCCGAGTCTTGGGAGCAAAGGGCCACCCTGGGGGGCCGCTCGGAGAGCCCTTCTGCCTGCCCTGCCTCGGGCGGCCTGGCCTCCGTTCACAGGCACAGGGCCCTGGGCTGTCCTGCTCCGTCGGTCTTCAGGACGTCTGGGGAGAGTGTGCAAGTCTCTCCCTCCCCTGTACCCACTCCTGAGTTAAAGCTGACCAGCCTCTGCAAAGCAGTTTCCCAAACAGAGTCTGCAGTGCCAGTGTGCCCCTGGGAGGTGGCAGCTTGCACACATGTAGTAAGCACCCACTGTGTACTGATGCCCTGGGCTGGGTGCACTTCTGTGTGGTGGTGTCTCATTGTAGGCTGGGCTGTCTCTGTCGTTCAGAGTACGGGCTTCGGTCCAGACTGCTCCAGTCCTTGGCTCCTCTGTTTCCCGAGTGTGTGACTGCGAAAGTTTCTTTGCCTCCTTTTGCCACAGTTTCTTCATCTGTAGTGTGGGGACGTTACAGTATCTGCCTCGCTGGTTTGGTGGGAGAAGTCAGTGAAAAAATACATGAGGCTTTTAGCTGAGCACCTGACACTTAGTAAGGGTTCAGTACAGAGCTGCTGCTGCTCTCCCTCTTCCGTGTTGCTGTCGTTACTGCGTCTCCACTACTGCCCGGGGGACACTGTTATTCCCACTTAAGAGGTGAGAAAGCTGAGGTCAGGTAGTCCTGTAACTTGCCTGATGTCACACAGCCAGCCAGGGGCAGAGCTGAGATTTGAACCCAGCTCTCCATCCAGTGCTCCTGCAACACAGCCAGCCCCTTGGGGAAACAGAGCCGGCAGTGAAGGGCGCCCAACCCCAGAGCAGTGGGAGGGGTGAACCCTATTTCATCTACGTGCTTTTTCTCTGCTTTTCCAGATTTCTGAGCCAGGAGAGGAGGGTCGATAGAGCTCAGGGATGGCGAAGGCCGTGATGCTTAGGCAGAAGCTGCAGCTGTGGGGCCCAGTGGCCGAAGATAAGTGATGGTGTCAGTCGAGTACCTGGTGGAAACGGGGCAGAAGAAGCAGTAACCCCAGAAAAGCACAGGCTGGCTCCACAATGCCGAGATGACGCCTCCGGAGGCCCAGGCCCCCCTCCCGCCCGGGCACTAGGAGCCGTCCCCAGACTCCAGCCAGGAGCCCTGCCTCCCAGGGGCATGGCCAAACCTTTCTTCCGACTCCAGAAGTTTCTCCGCCGAACACAGTTTCTGCTGTTCTTCCTCACGGCTGCCTATTTGATGACTGGCAGCCTGCTGCTGCTGCAGCGGGCCCGAGTGGCCCTGCCACAGGGTCCCCGGGCACCTGGCTCCCTGCAGGCCTTGCCCGTGGCTGCCATGGCACTGGGTGTGGGCCTGCTGGATAGCAGAGCCCTGCAGGACCCCCGTGTCAGCCCGGAGCTGCTGCTTGGTGTAGACATGCTGCAGAGCCCCCTGGCCCGGCCCCGGCCTGGACCCCGCTGGCTCCGGAGCCGCAACTCTGAGCTGCGTCAGCTGCGGCGCCGCTGGTTCCACCACTTTATGGGCGACCCCCAGGGGCTGCCTGCCCTGGGCCCTGAGGCCCCCAGGCCAGCCGCCAGCAGCAGAGGTAGGTGCTCAGCCCTGGGTCCCCTGGCGTGTTTTGGAGCTACTCTCAGGAGCCCTGCTCAGAGTCACAGAACCACTGGCCTCTTTCCCTGGCCCTTAGGGCAGCTGAAAAGTAGGCACTGTAGGCCCATGGCCTTCACAGAGTATTCCTTCCCTCCTTCCTGCTCTGTAGAATATGGGAAGAGCCTGTGATGGGAAGCTCTTTGGAGTTTGCTCACTCACCAGCTGGACTTCCACATGGCTCAAGGCCAAGAAGTGCGAGTAGGTCACTTAGAGCTTAGGCTTTGGGTTTAGATAGTTCTCATCATGAATCTTGGTTTAGTCACAAATTTGTTGAGTAACCTTGAACATGTCATTTAATTTCTCCAGACACTCTGATACCTACCCCAGGGTTGTTGTGAGAATTGAACATGATAATGTGGAGCAGTAGTTCACAGACTGGGGTCCCAGACCAGCAGCTCCAGCATCATCGGCGAGCTGGCTACGACTGCGGATTCTCAGGTTCTCCCAGACCAGCTGAATCCTGAGCTCTGGTGTAGGGACCACAGGCCATGCAGCCGCACCCTACAGGAGATTCTGTTGTACACCTAAGCGGAGGACCCCCAAGCTGGGAACTTAGTATATTATTTGGTATTCAGTAACTGGCAGCTATTATTATTTAATAAAAATAGCTAACTCATATGACATTTTCTATGTACCTGTAAATGTGCTCTTTGTGGGTACAATTATTGTATCCCAATATTATAGATGAAGAAATTGAGGCACCAAGAAGTTAAGGAAATCTGCAAGGACAGCCTTCTTTTAGTTCAGGTTCCTACAAGCAAACCTTGAAACCAGGGTTCCAATGCACATTGTATATTTGGGGTGTGACCCCAGGACACTGTTAGGGAGTGAGAGTGAGACAGGGAAGAGAAGACAGCCAATAAAAGGTGTGTTATGGAGCAGGTGGGGACTTGGGACGAGGCAAGGGCACACATCTCGGTGCAGCTGGAAGCAGCAAGGCCTGGGGGACACGGGCGGACACATATCACACCTGCCATAGTCACACTGCTGAGAGTCGAACGTGGGGACAGCCTGGCTTCAGGTCGAGGCCCTTTGCACCCTGTTCTACAGGCTCTGTTCAGGGCCCAGTCACGGAGCCCGCATGGGAGGAGCACCCGGAAGGCGCCCAGCTGTGGTTGAGTGGTGACAGCTCAGTCAGCATCTCAGCATCCCTGTCACCACCACACATGGCCCTATACCCGGAATCACAAGAGGAACTGCTCTCTTAACTATAGAAAGTGGGGTCAGAGAATAGAGCCCTCAGTGCAGGATCTAGAAAGAGATGAGGCGAGAAGCTTGTCTTAGAACTTGGACTTTGGGTTTGGGTCTGGTGCCTGGGTCAGGGAGGGCTGTGAGGGCCCAGCCCAGGCATTGGGCTTTATTCTGAGGATATTGACAAGGTTCCAGGGAAGGGAAAGGAGCCCAAGCTTCCCTCGGCTTAGGAGGATGACCCTGGGTGCTCAGTAAAATGTAGACTGGAGGACTATGCCTTGTTGTCTGCATGGAAGGAAGTTACTTCTAAAATCATCTAGGTCAAAGCTCTCATTGCGGGATTTCTCAGCAAGGCTTTCATGAGAGAAATGAAGAACTGGGTCTACAGCTCACTTTATATAGGTGTGATTTCTGTAAACTCTCTTCAACATACCCAGAAACTGAGTCTTTATGCAGGTTGCACCAGTGCAACTCATTTAGACTGAAGTGTAAATGACTGACAAGGTCAACATGGATTTGTTGAGAGGAAGCCATAGAAAGAGCACAATTTTTGAAAGCAGACCTGCATTCCTCTCTTGGTATTTCCAGTCCTGGTCCCTGTGACCTTGGGCAATTTAGCCACCATTCCTCTCTCTATTGCTCTCAATCTGCACTTGTTGAGGATTCATGTCTGGGTCTGCATATATGCTATTCACCATACACTTCAGGATCTCAGTCTGGTGGCAGAATCAGATATGCAGCCCAATTATTACTGTACAGCATGACTGGAGCACGGTAGAGGCCTGTGCAAAGGGCTTTTGAGCTTATTAGACAGAAGCAACTAGTTCTTTGTAACCTGACTTCATTGTGAATGGCCAGGAGAGGGGAGGGCTCAGGGTGACCTAGTTATAGCCCTGGGTGTAGAGTACGTGTGTCCAGGAGACCCAGTGGGTACCCCTTTGCTTTAAGTCATCTCCAATGACTTAACAAAGTGATGGAAGGGGTCCTGGGGAAGGCTGAAGGACTGTGGTTAGTTCAACCATTAAATACCAGTATGGCCTTATCAGTTGTTGAAATATTGGAGTGGTTACTGCTCTGAGCCTCTGAGGTACCCCATACACTCTGGCTGCCCTCCCCAGTACCCACAAACCTCCCCATGAGCCAGCAAGTGAAGGGTCAATGTTTGGTACAGCAGGAACATCAGGATCCAGTTCTGGTGTTGAATGGTGGCAATTCTGAATGGTCAGTAACCAGCCCCCATAGGTTATTAAATATTTTAAACATCCCCCAAGATTTCAGGAAGGATTGGTACTCTGGGAGAAGCGGTGATATCTCATGGCTGGAAATCTTCAGAGAAAGAGGGGAGAGGTGGGGGCACTGGCCTGAAAACCCTCCGGGAGCCCCCTTCCCCTCCCGTGGGGGAGGGGGACCTCTATGGGCCTGCCCAGCCAGGCAGTCTCATTGGTGGAGAGTAGCCCCCAGCCCAGCCCTCGGGACAGCTGTCGGGGTTGCACACAAAGAGGGCGTCTCTTTGAGGCGCGGGCAGCCTGCCATCCTTCTGAAAAGGGATCCTGCAAGCGGAGGAAGCTGCAGGAGGCTCCATCAATCACTGAGCATTTCATTATACCTTGGACAACATCCATAATGGAATAAAATGTCAGTAAGTTTACTAGGGGAAAAATAGTAACTTCTCCATAGCCAGTTTGTTTTTTATTGATAGTAATTTCCAAAGACATTCCAATATCTCCAAAGCCATCATTAATAGCCGCACGGCATGTCCATTTTGATGTGCAAATGAACAGATGTGGAGTCACAGACAATAATGCGCTGCCTCCATTTCAGCTCGAAGTAATAAATCCGCCTCAGAATGTGTCCCAACGTATCCCTTGGAAGTCCTTTTCTTTCTGCACATTCTCACCCCTGTCAGGGAGGTAGAAAGGCCGTTCATTATCTTTCCAGAAGAAAGGGCTCACCTCCTCCTCACAGACAGGCGGGCCATCTGCATCTTAGGCCTCTGCTGCAGACTGAGTAGGGGCCAGCCAGGCAAGGGCTCCCCCGCGCCGGACTGGTCAGCGCCAACAAATGGCCAGGTGCTCACTGGTTAGCCACTCCTTGTTTTCTGAGGAACCTGAGCCTGACCGACTGAAACCATCTCTTTCTCTCTTTTATTAATGTGTTGATCTTTCAGCTGATATTTACTGATCCATCATCATACCAGGTCCCAGGTTAGAGTGTAGGATTAGAATAATAATAGCTGTCATTTATTCAAACATCTGTTAATGGCCAAGCATTGTTTTGTGTAGATGTACATCTGTTATCTCATTTAATTTCAAGCTGCCTTATATGTACGTGGTGCTATTACCATTTTAATGATGAAGAATTTGAGTTTCAGGAAAGTAAAGCAATATAAAAATGTTTATTATTAATCATGATATATCGACAATAAAAACAATCACAACAGCACACACTCCATGCCGTGCCTTGTGTTTGGCACTTCCCATGTGTAATGGAGTTCTCACCACCACTCCATGAATTCCGTGGGAGCATAGCCCCATTTCTCACATGGGAAAGCTGAGGCTCAGGGCAGGGAAGCTGCACATGCCAGGTCATGGTGGTGCCTGGATTTGAACCTAAGTCAGCCCATTCCCAAAGCTGTTCCCTACTCCCCCAGATACATGCATGTGCCATTCTCAGCCTTCAGGGTCCTTGAGCCCAGGCACCTTTGCAACCTTTAAGTTAATTTCTCACTAACAGGGATAAGTGTTTAACAACCCCCGAGCTTGTGACTTGGATGTTTAATTGAAAGCTATAATAGAATTTCTTCTTCGTTGAGCAAAACACGAGAAATTTCTGAAACATTAGTTTTCTTATACTAAGTAGGCAGGCTAAGGAGGCGAGCAGTTCATCCTTGCTGACCTGGGGAAAATCTTTCTGCAGTGGTCCCTGCTGCTCTCCGGGGTCCTGAGACTTTACATAAGGAGAGTGAAACACTTTCAGGGCCTGGGGGTCCGGGATCCTGAGTGGAGGGATGTAGCGTGTCCCTATCACAGACACTGGGTGCGGCCACGTGTATGCTGATGGAACCACAAGAGGTTCGTTGCCTAGAAGGGGGAGAGACATCTCCCTCTCTTAGGGCGACAGGGCAGGGCTGTTGCAGACTTCCACTGGCCTGTGCATGGTTGGGTCAGCTCTGCCACTGCTTTGAGGTGTCATGTCCTCCCCCGGGAACCTGCCAGAGGTGCCTGGACTGGCGAGGACCCAGCAGTCCTGGGTCTTGTTGAGTCCTGTACAGGATGGCTGGCTCTCTTACACACTGACAGACTCTGCTCACACACCTCCAGTGATGGGGCTTGCTCTCTCCTGGGACAGCAGATTTTTTTTCTTGAAATAGCTCTATCTGTTTGCAAGATCTTATTTATATTAGCTAAGATCAGAGTTTCCACAATTAATTTCTTCCCTCTGGGTTACAAGAAGGTGACAGAAGCTGCCCCTTGGGACATTTGTGGAGATAGAGAGAGCTCTCCAAGCCGAGGAAAGGTAGGGATCAGGGAAGGAGGGGGTCCAGGAGAGGTATTAGGCTGGCCAAAAATTCCATTACTTTTTTTCCATACCATGGCTCTAGTATGGAAGTAAAGTCTTAGTTGACTTTAACTTCATTCAAAACCCCAATTTTGTTAGATTGTTTTGTGACAACTGTCATATTAGCATGCACTTAAAAAAGTATCAAAATTGGTCAATTTTGTGCAGCCATTTTAATATTGAAGATGGAAGAAGATATGCAATATTTTTGGTTTATTATGCTTTATTATTTCAAAAATGCAACTGAAATGCAAAAAAAGATTTGTGCAGTGTATGGAGAAGGTGCTGTGACTGATTGAATGTATCAAAAGTGGTTTGTGAAGTTTCTTGTACTATTGAGATTTTGACCAAATAGTTCTTTGCTGTGGAGCTCTCTTGTGCATTGGAAGGTGTTTAGCAGCACCCTTGGCCTCTGCCCACTAGAAGCCAATAGCAGGAAATAGTTTACATACTCAAAATATCCAAATCAATAAAGTTATTGATGATAATGAAAAATGTGTCTTGTATTTTACATAAAAAATGTAACAGACTTTTTGTTACTTAACCCAGCCAGGCTTGCTGAGTTGGGGTGGAAGAAAGTGGTGTTCAGATGGACACCAGGTTCCTGGCAGGGTGTCTAGGGGGACAGAGAGCCATCAGCAAAGAAAAGGGGCAGGGAGGGCGCAGGGATGAAGGATCCAGAAGTGCTGCAGGGAAAGTTGTGCCAAAGCCTCATCCCCTGGCTTCCCTGAGAGGCCCCCTTGGCCAGGAAGGGCTGGGGGTTGCCTTGGCATTTCCTGGGGGCGGGGGCGCGATTAGGAGCCTTCCCTCTCTCTGAGTCTCTGCTCTGCTTCTCGGCCCACAGGCACCTATGTTGGATGCTTCAGTGACAATGGCCAGGACAGAACACTGAAGGGCTCTGTGTTTTTTGACTTGAGAAAGATGACCGTCTCCCACTGCCAGGATGCCTGCGCTGAGCGGTAAGTGTGGGGCCCCAGACCCTCTACTCCACTGGAAGTGAGGTCAAGAGACAGTCCCCACAAGGAGGGGACGCTCTAGCTGCCAGTTGACTGTCAGAGTGTAACTAATCAGGGCTTGACTGGTCAGGTCCCAGTTGTCCAGAAGAAAGTTTATTGATGAAGTGGCAAGGGGTTGTGGAAAGGATGCTGGGTGTGGTGCCAGGAGACCAGGGGTCTAGTCCAGCTGCACCAAGGACTTACCGTGTGACTTAGCCCTGAGTCAGTTTCCTTTCCTGGGCCTCAGTTTACATGTCTGTTTAAAATAGAATAAAGAGCTTTAACCCAGATTTCTCTGAGGACCTTTTAGCTCTGTAGAAAAAGTTACTGTGTTTATAACAAGATTTGCTCTTTCTGCTCACCCGGGCATAACCAGACACTGGTCGTATGCCAGGGGATCGTCCCTAAAATCAAGGCTCTCACAGCACTCTCTGCATGCGTGTGCACGTGTGTGTGCAAGTGTGTGCATGCTCACACATAGCAGATGGGTAAAACAGAGTTGGCAGAGGTACTCTGGACTTATTTCAGTCACACAGATTATTTTCTATTTGTTGGGTCATAAGTCCTCACCTTCTTCTGCTCGGTAACCACAATTATGCCCATTTTATAGGTGGAGAAACTGAGGCCAGAGAAGGAAAGGAAAGGGTCCTGTCAAGTGTGCTTTATAGTCCAGCTATAGCTACAACTGAGACTAACAGTCTCATTTTATTCTCCTGACGGTTAAGGAATCGGAGACTCAGAGGCAGTAAGTGGTATTCAGGGTTACACAGCTAGCAAGGAGCCTGTGAGGATGAGGAGCTAGCCTTTGGGTTTTCAGTTTGGGATTTCTGTACCTAAGTCTACTGAGGTGGGAGTTTGAAAATGTTGGCCTCTTTTCATAGTTCAAACACTGTGTGAAACGACACTGGTCCCATTTGCTGTCTTTCTTTACTATGGCATCACTCCTGGGTGGAGGTGGGTAAGAGTGCCCTGGGGGGAAGGAGGTGCCTCGGGCCCTGTTTGTAGGGCGTGGAGGGCAGTTTTGACCAGCGGTGTGCTGGAGCCAGCTCATGGCTGGCTCAAGACAGCAAGCAGTTCAAGTTTCAGAAAATGTGATAAGCCCGTTACTAAACCATTGATAGCTCAACATCATCTACAGAAATTGGCCAATGTCACCCATTAGGGCTCCTTCCCTCCCATCCTGAGAACCGGTTAACAGCTCAGCGCAGCTATGGACACACGGCAACCTGTTCCCATGGATAGCACCTCAGGGGTCAAAGCTCAGGGCTGACAGGAGGAGCCCACAGGGCTGATTCAGTCAGCTTATTGCAAAGGAAGGGCTGTTCCCTAAACCCAGGCAGATGACCCTGAAGTCTGGCCAAGACCAAGGGCTGAGGGTAGCCACCTGCTGAGGGCCATGGCCCCAGCCCCAGACCTGACCTCCACTCCAGGCCCAGCCCTCATCCCAGCCCCAGCCTCAGCTGTTGTTCTATGATCCAGACTCAGTGCCGTTGGGATCCCATCCCCAGCTCTGGGCCCAGGGCAGCTCATTCCAGGCCTCACTTTCCCCACAGGTCCTACGTCTACGCCGGCTTGGAGGCTGGGGCAGAGTGCTACTGCGGGAACCGGCTCCCAGTGATGAGCGTCGGGCCGGAGGAGTGTAAACACGAGTGCAAGGGTGAGAAGGGGTCCATGTGCGGGGGTGTTGGCCGGCTCGCTGTCTACCGGGTGGAGGAGCTGCAGCCGAGCTCCAGGAAACGTGAGTGTGCCTCTGCCCTCCCAAGCTCTGTCTGTCCCCTGCACTCCAGTTGCCCTCCCCCCCCTGTAGCCTCTGGTCCAAATTACTTGGAACAGAAACCCTGCCCTCCCTCCCTTATCCCCTTTCCTGAGCAGGCTTGTCATAGAGGGGAGTGGGATTAGAGTATGCCAAAGGTTGCTTGAGTTCATAGCTGAGGCACATCTTTCTATTTTCCCAAAGGAGAGAGAAACTGGTCAGGAGGCTTGGGGCGTAGGCCTAGGTGTGTCTCAGACATGCTGTGCAGCCTCAGGCATCTGGCTTTCCCTCTCTGGGTTCCAGTCTATTTTATAAAGGGCAAAGGCAGGCCTAGATTTTTAGCAGTGGGGTGGACCAGATAATCTGAAAGTTCCCTAGCCATTAAACACATAGAAATGGTGGCTAAAACTGAACAAACACTGTTTCCCATGCGTAGCTAAACTAGCAAGAAAATAAGGAAATCCCTTGCTCCAGAAGAGAGGAAACTGAACATCACAATGGTAAGATGAGAGTCCAGACGGTGCCACGCAGCTCTGGGTTGCTGCAGAGGGAAATTGGAGGCCACAGGCTGAGGTTTTGGTGTCCCTGTGGGACAGAGACGGAGGCTTTGAGCTGGTCAGCTAGGGAATCAGATGGACACCTCTGCATAAAGTGGAATTTGATGTCACTGAAGTTTAAATCAATACAATGTAGGAGGTTTTAGCTATAATAAAGAGGCTTTTATTTTTTTATTGTTGTGTAATTACAGTTGTCCTCATTTCCCCCCCCCCATTACCCTCCCCCGCCCTCCCCATCCCCACTTCCCACATTCAATCCTCCCCTCCCCGTTGGCTTTGTCCATGGGTCCTTCACACGTGTTCCCTCACGACCCTTCCCCTTCTTTGCCCTGTTATCCCTTCCCCCTTCCCTCTGGTCACTGCCAGTTTGTTCTTTATTTCCATGTCTCTGGTTATATTTTGCTTGCTTGTTTGTTTTGTTGATGAGGTTCCACTTATAGGTGAGATCATATGGTATTTGTCCCTCAGTGCCTGGCTTATTTCACTTAGCATAATACTCTCCAGTTCCATCCATGCTGTCACAAAAGGTAGGAGTTCCTTCTTTCTGCTGCATAGTATTCCATTGTGTAAACGTACATAGTTTTTGATCCATTCATTTACTGATGGGCATCTAGGTTGCTTCCAGCACTTGGCTATTATAAATTGTGCTGCTGTGAACATTGGGGTGCATAGGTTCTTTTGAAGTGATGTTTCACTGTTCTTAGGGTGGAATTCTTAGTTCCACTCTTCTTAGCAGTGGAATTACTGAGTCAAAAGGCAGTTCCATTTTTAGTTTTTTGAGGAAATTCCATACTGTTTTCCACAGTGGCTGCACCAGTCTGCAATCCCACCAACAGTGCACTAGGGTTCCCTTTTCTCTACAACCTCACCAGCACTTGTTGTTTGTTGATTTGTTTATGATGCCCATTCTCACCAGTGTGAGATGGTATTTCATTGTGGTTTTAATTTGTATCTGTCTGAAGGCTAGTGATGCTGAGCATCCTTTCATATGTCTCTGGGTCTTCTGTAGGTTTTTTTTATAGTATCATGTACTAGTTCGGGGGTAGAAAGAAAATGTCTGTTTTGACCTGAGCTTCAGATTAAAAAAATATCTTCCTAAGCATTTGTATTGTAATTGCGAGACTGCATTTGTATGAGTTTTGAGTTCAGATTAGTACAATCTGCCTGGTCCAGCACCTGATGGTGCTGGCAGAGGCAATGAATGGAATAAGAACTGGCTCTGGACCACCTGATGGTGCTGGCAGAGGCAAACCAACATCAACTCAGGGGTAAAGAGTTTCCATAGATAAATTCTCACTGAAGATAAGCTTGTAAATTAAGTACAGAACTCAGGAGGAAATAATGAGCCATGAGGGAGAGTCAGCCAATGCTTCAGACCGCAAGAACCCCCAGGAATTTCAACGGGAAGTGCTTTCACACAAAGATGACAACTGAGGGGGCCCGACTAAATGTGTCTGAAACTCAGGTTTGTCCTAATTGCAAGATGATGGTCCTCAGATCCACTTAATTTCATTGTAAAAGACTCCTTCAAAAAAAGAAATACTATTATGCACATCGGGGGCCGTCCTTTTCACAATTGGGAGGGGCTGGGCTGGGAAGGAGTCAGAATGTAGAGACCAGCCCTCACTGCTGGCAAGGGTGAGGCAGTAGGTGATGGAGGCACTGCCCAGTGCTCAGGTACACGGACTCATGGACACAGCCACCTCTGGCCATGCACCTAGTGACAGGGCTCCAGGACAGGAAATGAATTAGTTTGAGGATGGGACCAAGCTCAGGGAAAGAGGGCTTAGGTCAGAAGCTAGAACTAAGGAGGGGTGTCTAGGAAGGCTCTCCTAGCAATGAGTGTTTGTCACGCAGCACAGAAACCTGGCTATGAGAACCACGGGGCTGCACATGGAGCTAGAGTGACCGGGAGAGTGGCTTAGTGCTCAGGCCCAGCCAACTGCGCCCACTCTTGTGCTTCTAGTCAGATGAGCTGTATCTGGGCACAGGGGCTCCAGATGGGGAATGGGGCAGGGGATTCACTAAGGAGACCATTAACTCCACAGATAGTCATTGATACCTGCTCTGTGCCAGGCCTGGCAGAGGTCACCATGGTGCATGGTGCATCTTCTCTGTCCCCTGGGCATCCAGATGGGCTTCCTGAGGACCAGAATGTTCCAGACTGGTTTCCTGGGTCTCTGGTTTTCCTGGGTTCCAACAACAACAGCCCCCAGTGCCTCTCCTCTGCCCACCAGCAGGACCAGGTCTGTGCGTGGGTCCTGGGCCCCCCTGCCAGCCCCTCCCGCCTGCTCAGCCACTGACTTATCGATCATTGTTGTGCATGAGGTTGCCCCTTGGTTAAGGTGAGATGGCCCAGTAGTTCAAGCCAGCCTCAGATCTTGAGGTGGCTAGACTTGACACCATGGTTAATGTTGAAAACGGTGTAGTAGCTGCCCCTTTGGATGGGCTGTGGAACTCAGGGGTTGACCTTTGCCTGCCCGCTCCCTTCTCAATGGGATGAGCCAACGGGATGAGCTGAAGAGGCAGCCAGGTGACCACCCATGTTAAATGTCAGCGTCTCCCTAGCTAGGAGCACTCACAGGAATAAGAGCCATGAGAGTGCTCCCCAGGCTGGGATCAGAGATAGGAACAGAGCAGCTCATCAATGACTTCATCTTGAAGGGGTTCTTCTGCCCTAAGTGGCCCTGGGGCTGTCACCTGGGAAGCAAGGGAGGGGGCCATGGATAGACTGCACTAGATGACAGCCTCTTCCCTGACAGTCACTCAGTGATGATGTCTAGAGGCAGCTGAGGCTGCCGTCCCCAGCAGCTCAGGCATTGCAGTGTATACTGGGCCCCCACATGCCCTGTTGTGTTCAGTTTATTCATCCGCTCAGCCCTCATTGGGCACCTGCTGTGTGTCAGGGTCAGGGCTGGGGGTGGGGAGCACAGGGGTGACCCACTTGCAGACTCCCCCTGGAGCTGTCCCTGTGGCATGGGATGCCCATGACCCCAATCAGTCTGTGCCCTGCCTATGCTGCTCAGCCTCCCTGTCACAGGCCCTGCAGCCTGTCTCCTGTTGTCTGTCCCACCCCAGAGCAGCTGGCTGAGGGCCATGGGCCAGCCCATCTAGCCATTTTGTTCTTTGGGGGCCTAATCATGCCACAGGACAGGAAGGAATTCCGTGATCCCAGCACAAAGCACCAACCCAGGGCCCTTCCACTGAAGGCCAGGGCAGCTACATCAGAGGCTGGCACGTGGGTGCACATTGCCCCTCAGAACAGCTCTGGCTGCCAGGCATTATGTAGGTGAGCAGTCAGAGTCCATGACATGGCCCAGTTTCAGAGCGAGTCACCAGCAGTGCCAGGACTTGACCTCCAGCCATTAGGATGCTCAGCTTGGACTGTTTTCCTGGCACCAGGCTGCTTTCCTTCATTTGTGCCCAAATAGGTTGGTGTCCTGGCATCCAAACTACCGGTGACATGGTTGGTCAGATGGGCTTCCAGATCCAGGGCTCTGTCTTGCTTTGCAGTTTTGCATGGAGAGCCCTCCCGCCATGGTGGTGGCTGGTGAGGGTTTCTGCTGCTGGCCATAGGCGGCGGCAAGCAGAGGGAACAGGCAGAGATGCTGGGCACCAGGAGATCTGGGGTTCAGAGGAGCCTGGTGTGAGAATCAAGATGCCATCTGGAGAAACTCAGATAAGTCTAGAAGAAGTATGAGCAGTTGGTGCTAGAACATTCCAGAAGGTTTGTTCAGCACCAGGGAAGCTAACTAGGGATCTACAATTTTGCACCTGAAGAGGAAAGCCTGTGTTACAGGCTTCCTCTGTAACACAGACTTAAGGAGTATTCCTAGAATTTGGTGGGAGTTCAAGATCAGGGAGGAAGCAAAATGGCGGTGGACTCAGTGGCACAGTGAGAGAGAACGTGGCAGGATTTCAGATTTCCAAATCTACTTTTCTTTCCACACATTCACAGGGAAGTCATAGACTTCCAGAATATCGGCCTCTCGGGTCACCTCTTGCAGAATCTGGCCCATAATGGGTGTACAATCCAAACTCTGGAAGGCAGGAAAGGAGGGAGTGAGGGAGGGAGGGAAGGAGAAAGAGAGGAAGGAAGGAGGGGAGGAAAGGAAGGAGGCAGGCCATCCTCCCAGAGCTGGCAGCAATAGTGAGACCCGAAGTTTCAGACAAGTGTCCCCTGGTCAGTGACCCAGGGTAACCAAGGTTCTGGTGCCTGGTTTCTCTCAGGAGCTTGGCTGGACTGCACCCCATCCCCATCCAGGGCAGTTTGCCTGCTCTGACGTGAAACCTGCCCCTCCTGAGGACAGCTACACCTGTTCCAGGATCCGAAGCCACCAGCTTCCCTCGGGACAGACACCAACAGCTGTGAGCACCATTTCTTACCGGAACCCCTTTTCTTCCATAGGGAGGACAGTCACATACCGCGGCTGCTTCAGACTGCCGGAGAACGTCACACACACCTTCCCCGACTCCCTGATACAAGCCAATGTGACCGTGGAGACGTGTTCCGGATTTTGTGCCCAGAAAGTAAGACCAGTTATATTCCACCACAGTCCCACATGTGAGGTGGTCTCAGGGACAGGTGCCAGTGCTGGGCTGCAGATGCCTGTCCACCCTCGGAGCAGCAGGCCCTGCCACAGACATCACTGAGGGTGCCCACAGGGAGCCCATTGCTAGGGCCAGTGATTCCGGACTGGCTGGGGAATTGTCAGCAAAAGTTGTAAAAGCTGAAAGGATCATGCCTTTCTCAACGTGAGCTTTTGGCACCAGTGTCAGATGTTAAATTTTAAGACTTGGTTTGGCAGCAAGAAGATGCTGGCTCGGGACTTGGGGACAGCAGATGGATTTTCTGTTCTGTGTGCTGACAGTGTTGGGCCATGAACCTGACTTCAGGGGCTGTGTTCACATGGGCAGGCACCTTCGGTTCAGCCTGCACTGGGGAGTGGAGCCAACTCTGTGCGAGGGCTGGGCGGGGCACCAAAGGCCATTGCCCCTGCGACTCTTGTTAGATTCTTGGGGTGGGAACATTGGCCAAGGCCAGGCAAGGCTTGCAAAAGGCAGTCCCTGGGAACTGCTAAGCAAGGCTGTTGAGGCCAGCAGGCTGTCCAAATAGCACTGAGGTCTGGAGTTGGAGTGCAGTGGTCTCCAGACTGCTCTGGAGGCTGCAGCCCGAGAAATGGCCTTCTGTGGCAGCAGCCTGGGGTTTGGGGCTGCCACTGTGTGCAGGGTTCAGCAGTCTTAATGGGGCCATGGTACCTGGCTGTGTAACAGAGTGGGGCTAGGAGAGAGGAGGGCCTTGGCAATGATGATGATGATGAAGAAGATGGTAGTTATCAACAGTAGCTAACATATATTGATCATTTATTCCATGCCAGGTACTGTTCCAAGCCCAAAAGTGTTAATCCATTTAATCTTCGTAATGACCCTATGGGATAGTTGCTATGATTATCTGCATTTTGCAGATGAGGAAACAGGCAGGGAGAGCTTGAGCATTCTGCCTGGGTTCACACAGACAGTAACGAGGGAGCCAGGATTTGAACTCAGTATAGCTCCATAGTCTGCTGGTGCTTTGAAGGGCACAGGAAGTGGGCCTCAGGGAAGGCAGATGTGGTTGGGTATGAAGGAGCCTGCCCTCCACAGGTACGCCCCCTCCCTGGGAACAGCCTGTCCTCAGCTTGAGATGCTTCCCCTGGAGGTGGGCACTTTCCTCTTGTACGCATGCAGCCTTTGAAGTGTCTCTCTTGCATGTCCAGCAGCTTCAGAGGTTCTGAAGCCTCTGCCAAGGATGTCTTGGGCATCAGGGAATCACAAGACGCATGCAGTGAGCCATGAACAGTTTGTTGGTTTGCAGACATCTGGCCTGAGGATCTCTACTTCCCCTCTCCCCCTCCTGGGAGCAGAGCCCGGGGTAGAGACAGCAGGAACACCTGCTTGTGTGCATGCAAGAAAACAAACTGCAGGGCTGCCTTCACACCTGCAGTCAGAGCAGGTCCCTGGAGAGCCCCCACTGGAGTCTGATGAGCTCAGCTGGGCCCAACCAGGCTGCAGGCCCACCAAGGTGTCCTGTGTGCTGGGTGCTATGCTAGGGGCCTGCCTACCAGTGCTCTGCTTTAACCCTCCTAGCCCCTCCCACTACTCCCTGAGTGGGGATGCTCTGATCCCCGCTTGCTACAGAGGCAGTGCAGATTCACACACAGACATGGAGTGACTGGTTGTTCAGCCCGCTCTGGACACCACACCCCTGTGCTTTCAGGCCGCTGCCTTTGTGTGACATTGCGGGGAGGGAGACTGAGAGGGTGAGTGCAGCAAGGGGGCAACAGAGCGAGGAGAAGAAAGAAGAGGACACGACAGGAAACAGACATCACTAGTGTATGTCCTTAGTGTTGTAAAATATTTTTAACAGGTAATACACTCACATGGAACACAGTAAAAAGACACCAAAGTGCCCGGAGGGGAGAGTCTTCCTCTTGTTCCGGGTGGCACCCCCCCACACACCCTCAGAGTCTGTCCTTCCTTGGAGGCAGCCTACAGCCCTGACTCCCTGGTCCACTCTCAGGGAGATTCTATGACTATTCAGGCAATTGCTTCCCTCAGAGGCGTTGCTCCTTCACAAGCCCGCAGATGGGGACGCGCTGCTCACACTCCCCTGTACCAGACTCCTTTTCCTCGACAATCTGTGTTAGCGATTGCTCCCTATTGGCAAAGAAAGTGCTTTCCCAATCTTTTATTCCATTACACGGATGTCCTATAATTTATTTAACCAATCCCCTGCTGTTACACATTTAGCTTGTTTCCAGTCTTTTGCTTTTACAAATAAGGCTGCAATGGCTTTCCTTGTGGGTGGCTCGTTTTGTTTCGGTGGATCTGTAAGACAAAGTTCCAGGGAGACGCTGGGTCACAGACTGCCTGTCCTCGCGTTGGTAAACACTGCCATGTTGCCCTTGGCCAAGGTTGTGCTAATGTTATGCCCCCACCAGCGATGGAGGAGAGGGAAATGAGGGTGCACCCTATGAGTCTTCTTTTAGGGGCAGCAACTTCAAAGCAGCTTTCTAGGTGGATATCCCAGTATTCTGGGGGCACCTCCTCCAGGGCAGCCCTTGAGAGTCCAGAGATTTCTGCCTTGTGATTACAGACACACAGCTTGAAGATTTAAAACTCTTCCTTTTCTATTTTCAGCCTTTCTTCATTTTTACTGGCACAAATCCACATTGCTGCAATTTCACATTGGAGTGTGTGCCAAAGGTACCTGCAGGCACTTGATCGCTTCTGCCGTTTTGCACTTTAGCACCTTGTACGTCTCTCCTCATTGTATGTTTCAAGGACGAGCTACCTGCTCAGCTCTGCCTAGTGCTCGTGGGAATTGTGAGGTCAGAACAGGGAAGAGAGGGCATCTAAGATTCTCCGAAGTGGCCTTTTCCCTCATGGTTTGCTTCTGTTCCTGGCCTTGCCTGTATCCGTTGCCTGGTGGGAGGGGAGGGTGGTGTTTCCGCCAGTCCCACTGTTCAAACGCCCAGAAGTTTGTAGCTGTGAGGAAGTCACTGTTTCTAGCTTTAATGCTGAAAGCTGGTCTTGGCAGGACACATGCAGTGAGATGTGGCCAAACACCTAAGCTGACAGTTATAGGGGGTGAGGTGGGGATGCCAGCAGAGCTCAGAGGTGGGGGAGACCAGGGCCCCACTCATGAGGTACAGCTCACCCCTGGGGAGGGCCTAGGACAGGACCCGGCAGAGTGAAGTCAGGGCCTGACGGGGCAAGGGAGGTTTGGCGGGGGGCTTAGGGAGAATTGCGCCTTTGAGGAAGGGTTGGAGCCAGAAGACGTGGGGCCGTGTCAACAGGTGGACGAGGGGTGTGAGGGGGGGCATTGTAAGACTAGGCAACTGTTGAGCAGGAGGGGGCTGGTGGAAAGCATCCTGGCTTGCCCGGAGTGGAGGGCTGCACAATGTGGTGTGGAAGGCGGGGTGGGGACAAACTGCAGTGGGCCTTGGATGCCTGCCTCAAAGTCCAGATTTTTTGTGTGGGTAGGAGGGAGCTACTGTGGTGTGCCCTGAGTGGCACTTCACAGCTACAGGTAGGATGCTCCTGGGTCGGGGGAGGGTGGAAGTGTTCTCTGGGGATCCCTTTGTTTTAGGACCAGTTTGTGCATTTTAGGATGTTTAGCAGCATTTTTACCCAAACTGTCTCCAAACCAGACCAAATGTCCCCTGCAGGACAAGATTGTCTCCTCATGCCTGGCCAGAACCACTGCCCTCGGGGCAGCTCAGCAACACCCGGACACGGCCTACATTCGCTATGAGTCTGCACCCTGCTAGATGATTGTGCTTCCCACCTGTTCGGTGAAGATGCAGAAGGAAGTTCTGCCTCTGGTGCCGAGGTCTGGTGGCTGTGAGATCAGTTGGAAGTCCAGCTGATCCAGGCCTGCAGTGACCAGCAACCTCTCTGCAGGAATGGTTTTCTCTCTTCTCTCCTGGATGTGGAGGGTGGGTGACAGAGGGGAAGTCAGGGATGTCTGGTTATACTTTCCTGTCTGGAGTGCCAAGCGCTTTCTCCCCGGAGAGGCCGGTAGCACCAAGGCTGCAGGGCTGCTGACCCAGTGGGAGCTTCGTCTCATCCTAATTTGGCTGAAAGACAAGCTCAGATGTTCTATGATGTGGGAATGGTTACATTAAGCCACAGCCATACAGTGGACTATAATACAGCCATTGAAAATGTTTGCAGAGACTTTTATAATGGAAAATGCTCACAGAAGGATTTTAAGTGGGACAGCGCTAAATCTGGGGGAGGGGACTAAGGGCCTCATTAGGCCTGGCTGGGTCCTGGCCCCTCCTCCCTCCCACTGCAGCAGACGTGAGAGGTGGGGCTTCCAAACAGGAAAAGTGGGGGAGCTCCCCTCACAGTGCCGAGCAACCATCTGGAGTTTATTTGAAGCCCCAGATTAAAATCTCTATTGTTTCTTGCTAGCTAGTGGAAATGGATTCGGGGTGCTCCATGAGTGTAGTTTGACAGAAAAAAAGACATTTTGGGGACTATCAGCACCTTAATGATCTTTCTCTGCCTGCGAGAGGGACTTGACCAATGTGATGTATTTTTAAACACAGTAAAATGGTCTAGTTGTCTGTGGTCATATCAGAGATAGAAGGAAACCTGCTCACTCTCAGTACTCAGGGACCTATCACCTCCTTATTTGGACAGAGGTGAGGATGAAGAGGGAGGGAGGGAGTAGCTCAGGTATTTGCGTTGTTACCAATTCCGATCTGGGGGTGATTAATTTTGAAGCCTGATATTTGTGTGCAAACAGACAGACCATTTGTGGGAGTGTGCAGTCCCACAGTGGGGCTGAGGAGTGAAATCTAACGCCATCTGCAAACAGGTTGCTAACGTTTCACCAGCTGTTATGCCTTGCGATCTGAGGTTTTATCTGCCAGCCACGGCCGGTGGCCATGGCCGTGGTTCTTCCGAGAAGGGAGTCGGAGGGACAGGATGGCGGGGAGAGGAAGGAGCCTTTCTTTTTGCCCTCTTTTAGTCTCTTT